ACCGGCAAAATCACCAAACGCCCTGAAACTGTTTTGGGCATAGGACCATGTGTGCGGCCCGTCAGAACTTTGCCCCGTTGGCGTTTCGGCTATGTTTCTGGGATCTGAGCGCTTTTTTGGATATGTTGGGCGCCCAGATCCAGGCTATTATTATTATTATTATGATAGTTATATAGCGCCATCAAATTCCGCAGTGCTTTACAATGGGTGGACGAACAGACATGTAGTTGTAACCAGACAAGCTGGACACACAGGAACAGAGGAGTTGAGGGCCCTGCTCTATGAGCTTACATGCTAGAGGGTGTGGGGTAAAATGACACAAAAAGGTCAGGATAGTATTAGACTAGTGACAATTGCAGAAGAGGAATCAGTCAGGAGCTATTAACAGTTTAATTGATACGCTTTTATGAAGAAGTGGGTTTTTAACGAGTTTTTGAAGGAGTGGAGACTGGGTGAGCATCTAACGGAGGAGGGAAGAGAGTTCCACAGGAAAGGTGCAGCCCTCAAGAAATCTTGAAGGCGAGCATCAGAGTTGGGAGTACGGACAGAAGATAGACGTAAGTTTTCAGCAGATCATAAGGGCCTAGACCCGACATACTTGTGTATAAGGGAGGATAGATAGGTGGGAGCAGCATTATGTAGAGATTTGAAAGCAAGAACCAGAATTTTAAATTGAGCTCTATATTTTATAGGAAGCCAATGTAGGGACTGACAGAAGGGTGAGGCATGGGAGGTGCGGACGGACAGGAAGATGAGCCTCGCTGCCGCATTCATTATGGAATGTAACGGCGCAAGTTGGGAGCACGTAAGACCACTGAGAAGCGGATTACAGTAGTCAAGGCTAGAAAGGACAGTGGAATGGACCAACACCTTAGTCGCATTTGGGGTTAAGTAGGGGCGGATGCACGCAATGTTTTTAAGATGGAAATGACAGGATTTGGCGATAGATTGAACATGAGGCTTGAAGGAGAGGTCGGAGTCAAAGAGAAAACCTAGGCAGCGAGCCTGTGTGGTGGAGCTGATGGTAGCACCGTTGACTTGGAGGGAGACAGACACAGGAGTAACAACACTTGAGGGAGGAAAGACCAGAATTTCAGTTTTGGTCAAGTTTAGTTTAAGGAAATAGTAGAAAGGCAGTCAGAGACACTAGTCAAGAGGGACGGGGAGAGATCAGGAGAGGACAGGTAGATTTGCATGTCATCTGCATAGACATTATATTGGAAGCCAAAGGAGCTAATGAGTTTACCAAGGTAGGCAGTAGAGATGGTTAGAGAACTGTATGGGACCAAGGACTGAACCTTGGGGGACACCAACAGAGAGGAGTTTGGGAGAAGAAGCAGAGCCAGCGAAATAAATATATAAAATTAACGTCATTCTAAGTGTATTTTAATATATATATATATTATATTAAATATATATTAAAATACACTTCGAATAATGGATTGGGTATGTGTATATAAAATTACTTAGATCATATATATATATATATTTATATATATATATACTAGGAAAAATCCTTGCACCCTGGCTGTACAGGTATATACTTGCTGGGTGCTCAGCCTGGGACTTTAGTTTATAAAAATAGTGGTACCCCCCCCATGTAAAGGTTTTATGGTGTTTTGGAAAGTTACGAGGTTAAATATAGGTTTTGCCAATTAAATTCTCTGGACTGTCTGTCTGGGTTGTCAGGCAGGTCCTCAAATAATAATAAAATCATACAGGGACTGAAACGTCGATCTCATGTTTTAACCTTGCTAATAAAAGAAGATTTTGAGTGAAGACCGTTGAGTGCTGCCATCTCTACCACTATCTATATATATATATATATGATCTAAGTACTTCTATTACATTTATAAAGTGTTTTAAAACTTTATTTTAACTATTAAAACCTTTTTGCAGGCATGAGGGGGACAGCCTGAGAGCTCAAGCAGGCCCCCTGCAGGCACTGCAAAAGCTGGCTATTCCGGCCATGTGATCGCGAGGACCCTGCCTGGGATGCCAGGCAAATCCCCACATCGCGATGGCCAGCGATATGGGAAGTGCATAGTTTGCCACGGACATACATCCGAGGTCGTTAACGACCATTTTTTGTCGGACGTACTTGGTACGTCCGCGGTCGGGAAAGGGTTAACAAAGCATGATTTCTTATTATTAGCATTTACATAGCGCAATATATTCCAAGGCTTTTTACAGTTAGAGTTACAGTTAGAGAATGGAAATATTTGAGAACAATTAAATCAAAATAATACTGACAAAGACAAGAGGTGAAAAAGGCCCTTCGCAAACAAGCTTACAATCTATGAGTAATTGGGATGAATGATCTGTTTTCTTATTTTTACTGTGTACATTAATCCATTGACCTTCTCGGGTCTGGAAATTCACAGCTGAATCTCAGATATCAAAAATGTGTCTTATCTGTAGTCAATGTGGTTTCTGCTGTATGTAAATAAAATGATGGTATGAATGTACACATTAATTACTTGCATGTAAACTGTGCCTGATCAGCATCTACATCCCTTCTCTCCGAGCCAGTTCTCCTGCTCTATCAGACTTGGCATACACCATGTGGCTCGATTGGGAACGCCAAGGACCCTGCTCTGGAATCTAAGACGGTACTTAAAATAATGAACTTGAGGCTAAAACAAATGGGTTTCATGTTACAAAGTCTGGGATTTTCTCTGACAGGTCTCTCTGGGGCATCCGAGAGGAATGTTTTAATACTGCTTAGTTTAGCTATTCGGATTTCTGAGGTTAGGAAAAAGGTTCATCCAAGCCCAGGCCTCTGCCAGACACAGCTAGAGTCCCACTCCGATACTGTTGTTATTCTGCAAGGCTGATGTTATTTTGTTAAATTCAATTAATAAAACACAACAGAGCATCTGCTCGAATATCTTCATAGTCTTGTTGGTCTTTCACCAGTGATTTGGGAGACGGAGAATTGGCTCTTCTTTGGGAGCTGGAGTGACCGTGTAGTTTGAGGTCATTTTTTAACAGGCCTGTCTAGTGGTAAAGATCGACATGGGAAAATTACGAGGTTTGACTCTTGGGAGTGGAATACTGAGCCATGCCAATCCGTTCTATGATTGTGTGGATGTTGTTGGCGTCCCTTCATCCTACCGCCTTCTTCTACCTCCCGACCATTGCTTTTTTCTAAGCCAAAGCACAGAGCAAACAAAGTAGTTCATTATTTATCAATACATTATTCAGATCAATTGTAACGTTTACATTATTGACAGTTGCCAAGTAATCTACCAAATACCCATTGTTCTTTTGTGGCACAGCTCCTTTCAATCAACTGTGTAACAATCTTAATGATGTATAAACTGTATTACAAGCTTATATTATATTAAAAGAAAACTATAGTGTTAGGAATACAACACCCCCAGCCTGTGGGAAATAAAGGGCCTGAAAAAACCTTTTTACACTTATCCGATTCCAGGGCCAATATCCCTCGACGCTGGGTCGCGCACCTACTCTGCCTGCATCAACCAATGTGGGGAACCTAATGCACATGCAGGCATTAGGCCTTCCTGATAGGAACACATGCTTTCCTGTGGGGATTTTGTAGATGCTGGACATCCTCATGCAAACTCTGTGAACTGCAGGAAGCGCCTCTAGTGGCTGTCTGGTAGATAGTCACTAGGGGCAAACTTAAACCTGCAGACCACTCCAGTGAGATGAAGGGTGCCCATAGTGTCCCTTTAAAAAAAAGTTTAAAAAATTTAAATAGCAGCTCCAGCTTTTGTCGTTTAACCCCTTAAGGACACATGACATGTGTGACATGTCATGATTCCCTTTTATTCCAGAAGTTTGGTCCTTAAGGGGTTAAACTAGCAAAATGGCTGCTCCCTGGCATGCTTTTGTTTTGTCTATATGTGATTTAGTGCATTTTATTTCATGTAAGGAGTTTCATTTATTTGCTGATTTTCCTTTAACCCCCTAAGGACCAAACTTCTGGAATAAAAGGGAATCATGACATGTCACACATGTCCTGTCCTTAAGGGGTTAAACTGTCTTTCTAAATAAAAGATCCAGCCCTTCTAAGTATCTTGTTTTTTTTTAACGTACGTTTCACAGCTAATTATGTCTAAGAGATTATTTGCAAACTAAATATAGCTGAGCTGAAGAATTATGTTATTCTTGACTAAATTATTCAGTCGATTCACTGTTTAGTGACTTAACCTCTCTGTTTTTTTTTCTAATTTGGAATACGGTGCTATTAGTTAGAAGCCATTTTACCTCTGCAAAGCGCTCTGTCTTGCATCATGCTGTTATTTTTATTTCAAATGCAGGCTAGTTTCCACCGTGAGAGTTTAGTAGATGTGGGTTTATTATTGCCATTATGCAGCCTGGTGGTGTGAAACCATCACATTTTGAGATTTAGTATGTTCCGCGGTAATCATCTCAGCACAGTGGTTCTCAAACTGAGCACCTTGCAAGCACTGACAGTATTTACATCTGGATATCGCAGAATTTCACCCTGTGTACAAGGCCACAATCTACCAGCCTCCGACCTTCTGTTCGCAGAACCCTTTACCATGGAGGAACCACAATCTCAGCATGCAGCCAACATCCCCTAACAAGAACCACATGTCAGCAACTGCACCTAGACATATCGTGGGGTGAATTAAGGACGATGCCGTGGCCTTAATGTTAAGCCACTTGGCGTTTGCGGGATTCTGTTGCGTTCCGACAACCCCTGTGTTATTCCAACATGTGTTTCTTTGGCCATTGTCCTGCTGCAGGGATTTTGGAAGGGAGATATTTGAAGGTAGGATGGACTGTGTTTTGTTTGGTTCAGACATTTTCAGATTTTTTTTTTTTTTTTTTTGCTATGTTCTTCTTTTTTTTTTTTTTACTTTCGGCAGAGCATCAAATATGCCTAGTGCTCTCCTCCAGGGGAGATATATTTCAGAGTGCATGCGGGGACAGTAAGGGAAATCCCACACTGTTACAAGCTTGTAACAGGCCTTGCAGGTTAATACAGTTCAGTGTTGCAAAGCGAGTGTTGTTAGAAGCCATTGTTATCCCTAACGGAGTAGCTGTCTGGGACTGCCGCGGGCTCAGCGATTGGACAAGCTCAGTATCGTGATTGGTGAGCAGTACAATAGATGTCCTGGGAGACGTCAAAACTAAACCATGCTTTGGATGAATTTGTGTATATTGCTTTGTTTTGAATTTCTCCCTTTAGCTCTGCTCTGCCTGTCTTTTTTTTTTTCTCTTTTTTTTTTAAAAAGGGGAATTAATTGGAAATATGAATTCCAGCCAGGCTACAGACATGTAGACAACTAAAACCCTTGTTTCTCCACGCATTTATCACAAGCATAAACTGGAAGATTATTCACATCCACAGTTAGTAAAAACATGTCTATCCAGTTAAAGTTTTTTGTCGCTCTGTCAGAAAGTAGTCTTTTTAGTTGTTAACAGTGCATATGCCTGTTGAAATGAAATATAAAAAAATAGGAATGTCTGTGGAATAATAGAGTATTAGAAGAAGAAAAAACAGATTATAAATAGACTTTTCTTACTCACATAGAACAGTTCAGGCTTCAGCCTTTACCATATTACATCCAAGACAAGACCAGAACATGGATCATAAGTTTTGACATTATCACACGATCCCCTATCTCTACCAGAATATTGAGTGGACTTGTGATTACGGTTGGGGAATGAGAAGTACCCTCCTGTAAAGCCAACATTGCCATTTGTCACACTAAAGCCCTAAGTCGCGCCAATTTTTTTAGAACTCCGGAATTTTTTTTTAAATTAAATCCAGAAATGTCACCCCTGTACTGAGTGTTTGGGTCAGTGAGGGAGGATTTGATCTGCCGAGCAGATTGTTGAAACGTGTTTATTTGTTTAGATCAGGGGTCGTCAACCTGGTTCCTACCGCCCACTTGTGGGTTCTACGGCACAAGCAGAATCCTCCCTCCATCTAGAGAGATGAACACTCTATTCATTTCTCGCGCATTTAGTAGTTAGCAGGAAGTGTGGGCATGCAGATGAAAGCGCAAGAACGCGCACGTACGTGTGCGCACATACAGACATGTGCGCACGCGAATGAGTAACACGCAGGTAGAGAAAGGGGAGGAATTGTAAAATAGGAGAAAGAAAGAGCAGAGTACTTGTAGAATAGGAGAAAGAAGGAGCAGAGTACTTGTAAAAAAGGAGAAAGAAGGAGCAGAGTACTTGTAGAATAGGAGAAAGAAGGAGCAGAGTACTTGTAAAAAAGAAGAAAGAAGGAGCAGAGTACTTGTAGAATAGGAGAAAGAAGGAGCAGAGTACTTAAAAAAATAGGAGAAAGAAGGAGCAGAGTACTTGTAAAAAGGAGAAAGAAGGAGCAGAGTACTTGTAGAATAGGAGAAAGAAGGAGCAGAGTACTTATAGAATAGGAGAAAGAAGGAGCAGAGTACTTGTAAAAAGGAGAAAGAAGGAGCAGAGTATTTGTAGAATAGGAGAAAGAAGGAGCAGAGTACTTGTAGAATAGTAGAAAGAAGGAAAATACAAAAAAAAGGAAGGAGAAGGAGAGAATTGTTGTTGGCTAATAATAATAAGAGGGCTACCTAGCTCAGCCTTCCTGCTGGGCATTGCTATAAAGGAAGGTAATAATAAAGGAAAAGGAGAAAAAAAGGAAGAAAAAGATAGAAAAAAGGGGTGGGGAATTGAGGAGGTAGAGGAGGGGAGATGATGCATGGATGAGAAGTCATATTATGAGCAAACAGAGAAATCGTCTGAATATCACCGAAAGAGGAGACCTTTGTTTGTTCCTTATGAAAATCGAACCAGATATGAAATATTTAGTCTCGCAGCACCTGCTTCAAGGATCTCATTACTCACTAGTTAAAGGTAATTTCAATTTACTTTGTTTTCTCATTAAACTTTAAAAAGTTAAAAACATTATAAACATGCATAAAGTAGAAATAAAAATATAAATTTAAGTACTTTTTTTTTAACCCCTTAAGGACACATGACATGTGTGACATGTCATGATTCCCTTTTATTCCAGAAGTTTGGTCCTTAAGGGGTTAAACACCCTCCTTTCTAAAAAAAAATATTCTGCACTTGTGCTAAAAAAAACCGAAAACTATTGGGCGGTAAGGAAATTTTCCCATCAAGAAAGATGCATTAGTAAGCGGTAGATATAAAAAGGTTGACTACCCCTGATTTAGATATACGCCAATACAAAAGATCTCTGGGAAAGTAATTCACAAATTCTCCTGAGATTACATCAAAACGCATTAAAATTATTGCCACTTACACACTGACATGATACATAAAAAAACAAAACAAGATCCAATGTGTCTGATTACCGACCTGTTAAGTCGCATGCTGGAGGTGTTCCTCTTTTTTTAAGAGAAAGCACCTAAATGATATTGCAGAAGGTCTTGATGGTAAGGTATGTCTTTTTGCTGATGATACTAAGATATGTAACAGGGTTGATGTTCCAGGAGGGATAAGCCAAATGGCAAATTATTTAGGTAAATTAGAAAAATGGTCAGAGTTGTGGCAACTGACATTTAATGTGGATAAGTGCAAGATAATGCATCTTGGACGTAAAAACCCAAGGGCAAAGTACAGAATATTTGATAGAGTCCTAACCTCAACATCTGAGGAAAGGGATTTAGGGGTGATTATTTCAGATGACTTAAAGGTAGGCAGACAATGTAATAGAGCAGCAGGAAATGTTAGCAGTAGAAAGAGGGAAGTGCTCATGCCATTGTACCGAACACTGGTGAAACCTCACTTGGAGTATTGTACGCAGTACTGGAGACCGTATCTTCAGAAGGATATTGATACTTTAGAGAGAGTTCAGAGAAAGGCTACTAAACTGGTTCATGGATTGCAGGATAAAACTTACCAGGAAAGGTTAACATGTATAGCTTGGAGGAAAGACGAGACAGGGGGGATATGATAGAAATATTTAAATACATAAAGGGAATCAACACAGTAAAGGAGCAGGCCATATTTAAAAGAAGAAAAACTACCACAACAAGAGGACATAGTCTTAAATTAGAGGGGCAAAGGTTTAAAAATAATATCAGTAAGTACTACTTTACTGAGAGCATAGTGGATGCATGGAATAGCCTTCCAGCTGAAGTGGTAGAGGTTAACACAGTAAACGAGTTTAAGCATGCGTGGGATAGGCACAAGGCTATCCTAACTATAAGATAAGGCCAGGGACTAATGAAATGAAAGTATTTAGAAAATTGGGCAGACTAGATGGGCCGAATGGTTCTTATCTGCCGTCACATTCAATGTTTCTATGTTTAAATAATACTTTATATTATCAGACTCATAGCTTCTTAATCCACTTCTGGTCTAGGGAATTGTCGAACACTAGTCCACAAGACTGAACTATTTTGCTGTGGTCAGAAGTTGCCTGCAACTGATTAGTGTAGCGGTACTTACCCTTTCCAGGGGCCGGCCGGGGTCCTCTGTTTGAGCCGCGCGCGGCCCATCCGACAGCTGTAACAGGAAGGCGGGCAGTGACCGCGAGAAGCGGACACGTGTCCCGCCTAACTCTAAGAGCGCGCCGCGGGTCTCGGGCGCGCTCTTAAAAGGACAGTGGGAGCCTAAATTGGAAAAGGCATCCCATTGGTCCCTGTCATGCCACACTCCCCATACACTTACCTTTTGGGGGCGTGGATGTGACAGGGACCAATCAAATGAGATGTTTAGGTATATATACTCACCTTTTTCCCTGAGTTCATTGCCCTATTGTGGTTTCTGTTTCAGTTCCCTTTAGCACTTGTTGTGTTCAGTTGTGTTCCTTCGTACTTGACCTTGGCTTTGTTTCTGACTACGTTATCTCTTTATCCTTATCTGTTCTGTTTGCCGGCTTGCTGTTTTTCTGTGTACCAGACCCCGGCTAGTCCAAGTTTACGCTGTCTCTTTGTGCCCTTGACCTCGGATCGCTCCTGACTCTGTATCTTTCTCCTTTACGTCGAGTCCGGCCACTCTAAGGTCCGGTAGACGTACCTTCCCTCTGTGCTGACATTTGTTTAGCTTAAATTCTGCATGTTGGGGTATATTTTCGTTACATTACAATAGGGCCATGGACCACGCAGATTTAGCTCAGCAGATGGCTTCTCATGAGGCTAGATTTGTAGAGCAGGATCACCGTATGGATCAGATAGCCCAGGCTCTCCAGACGCTCTTATCTAGAACTATTCCAGCAACCACACCTAACCCTCCTACACCTCTTCTTCCTGAAGTGTCTACTTTGCCTAATGCTTCGGCCCATTTAACACCTCCTCCTAGGTATGGAGGGGACTCTAAGACATGCAGAGGTTTCATTAATCAAATAGAATTCCACTTTGAGATGTATTCATGTTCCTTTCCCACAGATAAGTCTAAAGTGGGGTTCCTTATGCACCAACTTACCGATAAAGCACTTGAGTGGGTAAATCCTATTTGGGAGGCTAATGGACCTATGGTGCACAATTTCAATAGTTTCCTTACGGCTTTTCGTAGGACTTTTGACACAACTAAAAGGTCAAAGAATGCCGCCAGAACATTAATGAGAATTAAACAGGGTTCTAGGTCTGTTGCTGACTATGCCATTCAGTTTCGTACCCTTGCTTCACAGGTAGATTGGACCAACAATGGGCTAACAACTGCATTCATGGAAGGTTTATCTGACACTATATTGGATGAGGTAGCGGCTAGGGAGCTTCCTATTGCATTAGAGGACCTTATTGACTACCTCATTGATATAGATAACAGGATTCGTGACAGACTCTATACTAAAAACCGGAATAGACGTTTAGTTACACCTATTAACCCCAGAGACTGTCAAAGTATCACAGGACGAACCCATGCAATTAGGGGTTGCCAAACTCTCTGAAACTGAATAATTACATAGGAGAAGGGACGGACTCTGCCTATACTGTGGTAGGAGAGACCATATGATAAAAGAATGTCCCGTGCTTCCGGGAAACTCTCGCACCTAAGGCCTTATAGGGGACTGGCCTTGGGTGTGATATCTAAGTCTCCTAAATTGCCTCCTAACCGTTTGCTTCTTCCTGTTTCTTTGTATATGGGAGAGGGTTGCATAGCTGAGCACATACAAGCCTTGGTTGACTCCGGGGCAGCTGATAATTTCATGGACTCAGGTTTTGTTAAGAAAAACAACATTCCCATCAGAGAGAAGGAGATACCCTTGGCCGTTGAGGCCATAGATGGTAGACCATTAAGTTCTCCAGTTGTTACTCATGAAACTGTACCATTACACATGTATACAGGGGCTTTACACTTTGAAACCATTCGGTTCCAGGTCATCACATCTCCCTCTTCTCACATCGTGTTAGGGTACCCATGGTTACGTACTCACAATCCCATTTTCGATTGGGAGTCAGGGCAAATAAAATCATGGAGCGATGCCTGCCATGAGTCTTGTACTATTGAAGTCACCCCTTTGAATTCTATTAATGTTCCTACTACTCCTCCTTTGTCTACTGTTATACCCCCTCAGTACTTATTTCTCAAAACTGTCTTCGATAAAAGGGAGGCTGACAAATTACCGCCTCACAGACCCTACGATTGTGCTATCGATTTATTGCCTGGCACAATACCTCCAAAGGGCAGGGTGTACCCTTTATCTGTTCAAGAAAACCGTGTCATGGAGGAGTATATTAAGGAATCATTAGAAAAGGGGTTTATTAGGCTGGAGCGGGGTTGAGCGGCTGGAGCGAGGTTCTTCTTTGTATCAAAGAAAGAAGGTGATTTAAGACCGTGTATCGATTATAGAGGTCTAAATAAAATCACCATCAAAAATGCATGCCCTATACCTTTAATCACGGAATTATTTGACAGGCTCAAACATGCTACTGTATTCACTAAATTGGATCTTAGAGGTGCATACAATTTAATACGTATTAAGAAAGACCACGAATGGAAAACGGCATTCAACACTAGATCTGGCCATTACGAGTATACTGTTATGCCATTTGGTCTATGTAATGCCCCAGTAGTATTTCAAGAATTTATCAATGACGTTTTAAGAGACTTTATTCACACATTTGTAATTGTGTACTTGGACGACATATTAATATACTCCACAGATTTACACACTCATCACAGGCATGTTACGACAGTTCTGAAGACCCTTCTTGCTAATGGTCTTTATTGTAAACTGGAAAAATGTCTATTTGACCATTCCGAAGTTCAGTTTTTGGGGTATTTGATTTCCGCTAAAGGTTTTCGTTTGGATCCCCAGAAGCTTTCTGCTGTCATGGAATGGCCTCTACCACAAGGTTTGAAAGCCATTCAGCGTTTTCTTGGTTTCTCTAACTATTATAGACGCTTTATTAAAGGTTTTTCCTCTATTGTAACGCCTATCACCCGTATGACAAAAAAGGATGGCAATACTCGTGTCTGGTCTCCCGAGGCACTTCAGGCTTTTGAATTTCTTAAAACTACGTTTGCTTCTGCACCTATTTTACAGCATCCTGTCCCCACACTGCCCTATATTCTTGAAGTTGATGCTTCTGATATCGGGGTAGGTGCTGTCTTATCCCAAAGAGAGTCGCCTGAAAAGCCATTGCATCCTTGTGGCTTCTTTTCCAAACAAATGTCCAAAGCAGAAAATAATTATGATGTGGGTAATCGCGAACTCCTTGCCAGTGGCGTACATACCAGGGTCGCAGGGGTCGCGGCTGCGACCGAGCCCGGCCCACCAGGGGGCCCGGTCGCCCCTGCAACCCGGTATGTACGCACAGGGCCAGCCTCTTCTCCTGGGGGGCCCAGGAGGCGGCCACCTCAGGGCCCCCCCCCGAGGCTGACCCGGGCAGGCTCTCTGTCTGGGTGGCCGGTGCGCGAGGGAGCACTTTCCCCTAAGTGCTCCCTCTTCAGCTCCCTCGCGCACCGCACTGATACCGGAGCCTGAAGATGAAGTCATCTTCCGGCGCCGGCATCCCTATGCGGCGTGCGAGGGAGCTGAAGAGGGAGCACATAGGGGAAAGTGCTCCCTCGCTCCGGCCACCCAGACAGACAGCCTGCCCAGCAGCACCACTGGACCCCAGGGAATCCCCTCCTTTCTAAAATAGTTAAAATAGTTTCCTTACGGCTTTTCGTAGGACTTTTGACACAACTAAAAGGTCAAAGAATGCCGCCAGAACATTAATGAGAATTAAACAGGGTTCTAGGTCTGTTGCTGACTATGCCATTCAGTTTCGTACCCTTGCTTCACAGCAAAAGGTAAGGCGGCTGGGGGGATTAAATAAAAAAAATTAAAAAAAATGTGTTTGTGTGTGTTAGTGTGTGTGTGTGTTAGTGTGTGTGTGTGTTAGTGTGTGTGTGTGTGTTAGCGTGTGTATGTGTGTTTGTGTGCTTGTGTGTTAGTTTGTGTGTTAGTGTTTGTGTGTGTTTGTGTGTGTATGTGTCAGTGTGTGTTTGTGTTAGTGTTTGTGTGTGTATGTGTCAGTGTGTGTTTGTGTTAGTGTTTGTGTGTGTGTGTCTGTTATTGGGTGTGTGTCTGCTAGTGAGTGTGTTACTGTGTGTGTCTGTTACTGAGTGTGTTTGATGTCTGTTAGTGAGTGTGTGTTTGTCAGTGAAAGTGTATGTTTTGTAAGTGAGTGTGTATGTATGTCTGTCACTGAGTGTGTCTCTGTCAGTAAATGTGTGTGTCTGTTAGCTAGTGTGTATGCGTCTGTTCGTGAGAGTGTGCGTGTGTGTCTTTAGCATTTACCTTTCTCCAGCGTCGGACTCCATTGGCGCTGGGGATCCCTCCGCCTCTCAGCTCCGAATGCACATGCGCGGCAAGAGACGCGCGCGCATTTAAACCGCCCATAGGAAAGCATTACTCAATGCTTTTCTATGGACGTTGAGTGTCTTCTCACTGTGATTTTCAGTGAGAATCACGGAAGCTCCTCTAGCGGCTGTCAATGAGACAGCCACCAGAGGCTGGATTAACCCTCAGTGAAACATAGCTGTATGTTTTCAGCTGCAGGGTTAAAACTAGAGGGACCTGGCACCCAGACCACTTCATTGAGCTGATGTGATCTGGGTGTCTGTAGTGGTCCTTTAAGTGTGTGTGCATACCTCGGTTGCGGGGTCACAGCCCTACATCCCCTGCGACCAGGTGCCCGCCGCCATGTGTTGCAGCCCCAACCCACGCCGAGGGGGGGGGGCCCACGGATCAATTTCCGCACCGGGGCCCCATGGTTCATGTGTACGCCACTGCTCCTTGCTATTATTTTAGCACTGAAAGAATGGAGACATTTGTTAGAAGGAACTAAGGATCCTATCCTCATATTTACGGATCACAAGAACCTATCCTACCTTAGTGAGGCTAAAAGATTGTTTTCTAGGCAGGCTAGGTGGTCACTGTTTTTGTCTCATTTCAATTACATTATCACCTATAGGACAGGTGACCGCAACACTAAAGCAGACGCTCTGTCCAGACAGTTCGAAACTACTGACAAACAGGAGATTGATGTGACTCCTGTAATTCCCCCAGAAAGGATAATAGCTACCACTATTTTGTCTATTTCTTCGTCCCTCTTGCAGGCCATACAAGCAAAACAAAGCATGGCACCTAGCGAGAGACCTACTGATAAACTGTTTGTTGATGTTCCCGAGAGACGGGAGATTCTGTCGTGGTATCATGACACTAAGACTGCTGGACATCCTGGTGTTTCCAAAACGGTGTCAGCTTTTTCTCGGTATTTTTGGTGGGATTCCTTACGCAAGGATGTCACCGACTATATAGGTGCTTGTACTACTTGTGCCTGTATGAAATCTTCTCGTAGGGTTCCTTGTGGGCTGTTGCATCCGTTACCCATTCCCGAGAGAACTTGGTCTAACCTGTCCATGGATTTTATTGTTGAATTACCCCCTTCGAATGGTAACACAGTTATCCTAATGATAGTGGATCGGTTTTCCAAGATGGCTCACTTTGTGTCTCTTCACAAGCTGCCCACGTCCAGGGAACTAGCACTTATTTTCGACAGAGAGGTGTTTCGATTACATGGCATTCCCGTATCTATTGTGTCCGATAGGGGTAGCCAATTTATTTCCAGGTTCTGGAAAGCCTTTTGTTCGGAAATGGGTATTTCTCTCTCATTTTCTTCCGCTTACCACCCCCAGTCTAATGGAGCTGCTGAACGTGCCAATCAATCTCTGGAGCAGTACCTTCGTTGTTTCGTATCCCACCATCAGAACAATTGGTCTGACCTTCTTCCTTGGGCTGAGTTTGCTCGGAATAACGCTACTCATGATTCTTCCGGCAAGAGTCCTTTTTACGTTGTCTATGGCCAACATCCTGTTGTTCTTCCGGCTGCTTTCTCCTCACAGGGCATGCCAGTTCTGGATGAACATTTGGCTAATTTGCGTAATACTTGGGAGCAGGTTCAGCGTTCTTTGGTGGATTCCGCTGCTCGCCAGAAGGTGAAGGCTGACAAGCATCGCAGGGCGGCTCCTTCTTATGTCGTGGGGGACAGGGTTCTGCTTTCCACGCGAAACATTCGCCTCCGGGTGCCTTCTATGAAATTGGCTCCCCGCTTTATTGGTCCTTATCGTATTCTGCATAAGGTTAATCCTGTTTCGTATGCCTTGGGTCTCCCTAAGAATCTGCGTATTCCTAATGTCTTTCACACCTCGTTGTTGAAGCCTTTCGTATGCAACTGCTATACCCGGCATACTCCTCCTCCCCCTCCTGTCTCTGTGGAGGGTCATGAGGAATTTGAAGTTTCTGCTGTTCTTGACTCTCGTTTCCTTAGAGGTCGACTTCAGTACCTGTTGCATTGGAAGGGCTATGGGCCTGAGGATTTCACGCTCCTCGTCTTGTGCGCTCTTTCCATTCTCGTTTTCCTGCCAGGCCTGGCCCTCCCCGCCCGGAGGGCGTGTCCTCAGGGGGGGGTACTGTAGCGGTACTTACCCTTTCCAGGGGCCGGCCGGGGTCCTCTGTTCGAGCCGCGCGCGGCCCATCCGACAGCTGTAACAGGAAGGCGGGCAGTGACCGCGAGAAGCGGACACGTGTCCCGCCTAACTCTAAGAGCGCAGCGCGGGTCTCGGGCGCGCTCTTAAAAGGACAGTGGGAGCCTAAATTGGAAAAGGCATCCCATTGGTCCCTGTCATGCCACACTCCCCATACACTTACCTTTTGGGGGCGTGGATGTGACAGGGACCAATCAAATTAGATGTTTAGGTATATATACTCACCTTTTTCCCTTAGTTCCTTGCCCTATCGTGGTTTCTGTTTCAGTTCCCTTTAGCGCTTGTTGTGTTCCTTCGTACTTGACCTTGGCTTTGTTTCTGACTACGTTATCTCTTTATCCTTATCTGTTCTGTTTGCCGGCTTGCTGTTTTTCTGTGTACCAGACCCCGGCTAGTCCAAGTTTACGCTGTCTCTTTGTGCCCTTGACCTCGGATCGCTCCTGACTCTGTATCTCTCTCCTTTAAGTCGAGTCCGGCCACTCTAAGGTCCGGTAGACGTACCTTCCCTCTGTGCTGACATTTGTTTAGCTTAAATTCTGCGTGTTGGGGTATATTTTCGTTACAATTAGATTGTGGCCTACTGGTTAACTTATACTGGGGGAGACGGCCAATTCCCCACTTTGCTGTGCTTCTATTGCTCTGTTTCCCCTCCCCACCCTTTGGACCTGTTGGGGATATCCCAGTCCCCGCTGGTGTGGTTTTCATAACAAACCAGAGAGATTCCTATTGCTGGACTCGGTCTTCAATAGGAGGCCAAGCGGCTATGATCACAGATGCCTGAGCATGTGGCTATCTTCAACACTCATCTTCAGAGATGGCTACTATTAAAGCTTTTGACCAATTATGTGCTCACTTTTGGGAGAAAATTTTAAAAAGAGCTTTTCACCTTAAACGTGAGCAAGCTGAGACAGATCCTGTGCCCACTCCATCATTTCTGTTGTCAGAGAGATTTAAAGCTTACCACTCCTTACCTGGTCCTGGAGCCACTAGGGACTGGAGCTTTTCACATGGCCCATGCCATCAGAGAGCCACCAGTAGAAGGTATTACAGGCGTATTACAGGTCTCCCTTAGTATCTCTATCTGGGTTCCGGAAGATGCCCAATTAGTGGACAGGATTTGTTGGCTCCAGTTGAGAGCTTGGGCTGGTGGACACCATAGACTGCTTGATGTATATCATCGTGAATTCGAGTAAATGCAACTTTCCATGCCAAAGAGTAGGCTGACTTTCCTATCTATTAGAAGAGCCTTGTAGCTTGGTTTAAACGTGGGTCTCCCCTGTTTTGATGATCTGTTAGGGGCCACTTGGATGTTTTGTTTTATGAGTCTTATCTCCAACAGCTTTGCAGATGTTTTATTACGTTTCTTTGCTTACGAAAAGCATATTTTTCTTTATTATACTCATCTGCTTGTTTTGTAATGCTTTAAGCTGCTGTGTACTTTTTTAATGTCTTTATCTCTAAACAAAAGAGGTGCATTCATCTGACACCTATACATAATTTGTAATACTGATGGCTTACATCATTTTACTTTGTCTATGATGTATATTGGTACAAAATAAGAAATGTATTCTGCATTCATCCCAAAATGCATTCTCATTACAAGCTACTTAGTGGAGAGTCCTAGCAGTGCTGTTTCCAGTCTGTCTTATGTGAGTACCCAAGCCTCAAACCGTATCTATGAGCTTTCTCAAATGTGTAGTGAATAAACACCCCAGAGGCCATAATAAAAGAAAGGTTTGATAGATTGAAGGGGTTAATTAGGGTAAGTAGTGGGGTTTTACATGGCCTACAAGTCAGGAATTTATGTGCAGAAAGAAAGTCTTTTTATACTTTTCACAAAGAAAGAGTAAAGGGGATAGACTATTCTATAAATCAGTCTGCATCATTGTGGTGGGATTAATTTATTGCAAAATTTTGGCAAGCAGAATGAAGAGATTTGCGGAGGACACGGATTCTGACCTCTTTTCATAAAATAAAAATGCCTCTTGAATCCACTCTTAAACTAGAGCTTTCTGTCTCGTTTTCTTTTTGTTCCATAAATTTCCGACACATGCTGTGGTCCTGTTCATCCGGGGGTTAATGATTATTACTAAAATTACATATATTGACAAAGGATGGAGCGAGTCCAGTTATATAGGGATATTACTAGACTGCATGGGAACCAAGCTAGGAGAACGTAGCATTGTGGTTCAGCCAAAAACCCAGGACTTAACTGTTTTACAGGGAATTAATTTTGGTCAGCAGCCAGTGTAGTTTCACGCCGGATTCGATGGAAAATAGCATGAATTTTGAAATAATTCTAAGACTGTCTATGGTGAGCGTGTGTGCACACTTTCACCACTAGATGGCAGAAATATTACCTTTTTGCAGGTACAGGGCAGCAGACACTACATAGGAAGAAATTTGGCGTGAGAGAGTTTGGACGGGAAAGTCCAAGACTTTGCACATACAGTTCTTTCACCCTTACATTCCTCCTCCAGAAGAAACAGAAATCACTCGGGGCTATTCACTAAAGTGAGAATTGCATTGAATTCAAAGTGAATTTCACATTTTACACCTACATAGACGAAATGTTAGTTGAGTTGAGAGATGAGAAGCCTGGTCATAGCATACGTCGCTTTAACAGCACAACCAGGCCCCTTCCTCTCTGCTGGGTGAGCTGGGAGGATGTGAGAGACGGTCACTGCCTCCCAGCTGACATAGACCCAGCCGAGTGAAAAAGGGGGTTGTACGAGCTACGTGGGGGGGAAGAGGGGAGGGAGGATGAGGAGGGGGGGAGAGGAGCAAGCCTCTATCTCCCAGCCAGCAAAAGGTAGAAAACCGGAGGGTGGCTAAATTTTTGATTTTGGGTGTGTATATCTGTATGTATGTAGTGTTTGTGTCAGAGTGTGTATCTGTGTGTGTGTCATTTTATATGTGTATCTCTGTGTGTATGTGTGTCAGTGTGTGTATCTGTATGTATGTAGTGTTTGTGTCAGAGTGTGTATAATTTTATATGTATATCTCTATGTCTGTTTATTTGTATGTGTGTCAGTGTGTGTATCTGTATGTCTCAGTATGTGTATCTGTGTGTCTGTTTCTGTACATGTGTTTTTGTATCTGTGTATTTGAGACATAGGGCAGGGGGAAAAAAGTATAAATTTTAAATAACAGCAACTTTATTAATTACAAACATTTCTCTAATATCAGGGGTACAGTTTATAGAAAAAGGCTGCCAAGGGATACACAAGTAAAAAAAAGTTTGGGAACCACTGCTCTACACTGTAGACATTCAGTGGGAGACTTGTCACTGTCAGGGTACCTTTGGTGTCTACCTCGGAGGAGGTTAGACACCTAGACGTCCATCCTCCCAGGGGGGCTGACTCACCCGATCCTTGCACTCCTCCCGGTCGTTTACACGCCGGCCGCGATAGCTCCGCCTCCTTTTATGACGCGGCGCTCAGTAGCCGACGTCATGGCGGCAATCACGTTCCGACCCGTCAATCACGGCAACCAAGTGCCGAACAACGAATCAGGACTCGTTGGGGGCGGAGCCAACAGTTAAAGAGCCAAGGTATAAAAAAGGGTTCTGTGGAATGATTCATTGCCCTGTCGTGGTTCTAGCTAGTCTGGTCACTCAGTGCAATTACCTCTATTGTCTTTTGGTTTCTGACTCGGCTTGTATTTTGACCCTGCTTTCCTCTCTTGTCCTTTTGACTCGGCTTGTCTCTCGCTTACCTGATCTCTCGTTCCCTCGACCTCGGCTTGTCTCTGACTATTCTTTTGCTTTCTCCTTACGTTAGTCCGGCCATTCTAAGGTCCGGTATACGTACCTACCCTCCTGTTTGTATTCTGCGTGTTGGATCCCTGTCACGATCCTGACATTACGACAGGGCCAATGGATCCTGCAGGTACAAACTCTCAGGTCGGTTCTCCTGACTCTAGATTTGAGGCCATGGATCATAGAATGGACCAGATGGCTCTAGCTCTGCAAGCATTGCTATCTCGTCCTAGTAGTCACTCAGAGGAGATGCGTACCCCATCTATCTCTCCTATAAGTACAGGCCTAGAGGTAGCCATAGTGGCTACTTCTTCCCGTGTTACGTCCCCGTCACGCTATGGCGGCGCTCCTGACACTTGTCGAGGTTTTTTAAACCAGATTGGTATTCATTTTGAATTACAACCCCACGCCTACCCTACTGACAGGGCAAAGGTTGGATTTATAATTACCTTGCTCATTGACAAGGCACTTAGATGGGCTAACCCCCTGTGGGAAAATGATAACCCGTTAGTTTATAATTATAATGCTTTTGTCGCTGCATTTAGGAGAGCTTTTGACCCTCCAGGAAGAAAGGCCAATGCAGCTAGACTACTGTTACGTCTTAGACAGTATAACCGAACCCTAGTGGATTATGCCTTGGAGTTCAGATCCTTGGCGGCAGAGGTCAAGTGGAATGAACAGGCTTATATGGACGTATTTATGAACGGGTTATCTGATGAGATTTTAGATGAGGTGGCCACAAGAGATCTTCCTGAAAATTTGGAGGATCTGATTTCATTTATTTCCCGAATAGATGAACGTATGAGACAGAGGCAGAATATTCGGGATAGAACCCGCAGATCCTCCATAAGACTAGCTCCCTCATTTCAGACTTCTGATTCTACGACTTTAGCTCTCCCAGAACCTATGCAAATAGGTCATACTCGACTCTCAGAGGAGGAAAGACAGTACAGGAGAAGGGAGGGTCTTTGTATGTATTGCGGAATTAGAGGTCACCTACGCCTAAATTGCCCTAACCGGCCGGGAAACGCTCGCACCTAAGTTTCTCAAGAGGACAGGCCTTGGGTGTTTCTATCTTGTCCTCTATTTATGATTATAAAGATCATAGGCTTCTGATACCTGTTTCTTTAGCTTGGGAAAAGGGAGTACTTAATGCTATGGCTTTGATAGATTCCGGAGCAGCTGAAAGCTTTATTGACCAAGCCTTTGTCACTAACCATTCTATCCCATCTCAGCTAAGGGATACACCCTTGGCCGCTGAGGCCATAGATGGTAGACCATTATCTGAACCTGTGATTTTTCGTGAAACCATACCAATTAAGTTAACCACTGGTATCCTTCACGAGGAAAGAATATCCCTCATGCTGATCTCATCTCCTTCAGTTCCTATAGTCTTGGGGTATCCCTGGCTTAAGAAGCATAACCCTATCATTGACTGGGAACTGGGTGAGATAGTCTCCTGGGGTCAGGGTTGCCAGAAAGGATGTGTGCAGAAAGTCTCACCAATTTGCAGGGTTGACGCCCCGGTTAACTCTTCCCAACCTACAGATTTACAGATACCATCACAGTACCAGGATTTAAAGGCAGTCTTTGACAAAAAGAGGGCTGATACTTTACCTCCACATAGGTCTTTCGACTGTAAAATTAGACTCCTACCTGGTACTATGCCTCCGAGGGGTACGGTATATCCTCTATCCACTAAGGAAAACTTAGTCCTAGAGGAGTACATACGTGAAAACCTAGACAAAGGTTTTATTAGGAGATCATCTTCTCCGGCCGGGGCCGGTTTCTTTTTTGTAGATAAAAAGACGGCACTCTACGGCCTTGCATTGATTATCGGGGCTTGAATAAGATAACTGTTAGAAATGCTTATCCTATTCCTTTAATTACTGAGCTCTTTGATCGACTGAAAGGCTCCAAGATTTTTACCAAGTTAGCTTTGAGGGGAGCTTATAACTTGGTGAGAATTCAGCAGGGAGACGAATGGAAAACAGCTTTCAATACCCGTTATGGCCACTATGAATACACGGTAATGCCCTTCGGACTTTGCAATGCACCTGCAGTATTCCAGGACCTTATTAATGAGGTTCTTAGGGAATTTCAGCATGAATGCGTTATAGTATATTTGGATGATATACTAATACACTCTAGAGAGATTGAGACTCACCACAGACGAGTCAGAAGGGTACTGCGCAAACTGTTACAACATGGATTGTACTGCAAATTGGAAAAGTGTAGCTTCGACCAATCTCAGATAAACTTTCTTGGCTACGTTATTTCTGGAGACGGATTTAGGATGGACCCCATTAAACTCCAATCGATTTTAGATTGGCCATTGCCCAGGGGACTCAAGGCCATTCAGAGATTTATCGGATTTTCCAATTATTATAGGCGCTTCATTAAAGGTTACTCTTCTATTATTGCTCCTATTACTAATATGACTAGACAGGGGGCTGATACCAAGACTTGGTCCACAGAGGCTCTCTCTGCTTTCAAAACTCTCAAGGAACATTTTGCCTCAGCACCGATATTAGTTCATCCTGACACATCTTTGCCTTTTCTACTCGAGGTTGACGCCTCGGAGACAGGTATAGGCGCTATCTTGTCCCAAAGGCTAGGTTTGGATAAACCGTTACATCCATGTGGTTTTTTTTCCAAGAAATTATCTGGGCCTGAAAGTAGATATGACATTGGTGATAGGGAACTGTTAGCGGTCATTATGGCTTTAAAGGAATGGAGACATTTGTTGGAGGGGACATTATACCCGGTTACTATTTTGACTGATCACAAGAATTTGTCCTACATAGGGGAGGCCAAGCGCTTGTCCGCCAGGCAAGCTCGTTGGTCCTTGTTTCTGACACATTTCAATTACGTGCTCACTTATAGACCTGGTTCTAAGAACTCTAAGGCAGATGCATTGTCCCGTCAACATGAACCCTCTACGGTGTCTGAAGCAGCTTTGTCTTCTATCGTTCCTAAGTGTAAGATTATTGCCAACACTTGTGTCAGGATACACTCGCCGTTGCTTGCTGAGATCAAGAAAGTACAACATCTAGCTCCCAAACCTGTTCCTGGGGATCGATACTTCGTTCCTCCTGAGCTCCAAGTGGAACTGCTGCATTGCTTTCATGACAGTAAAATTGCTGGGCACCCCGGCACACGCAAAACGTGTTCCCTGATTTCTAAAGATTTCTGGTGGCCTTCCCTTCGTAAGGATATAAGGGATTTCGTCAGGGCATGTGCTGTCTGTATGAAGACTAAGCAACCTCACGCGCTCCCTTGTGGACTTTTGCATCCCTTAGAAATTCCCGAGAGACCATGGTCGTGTTTGGCTATGGATTTCATTGTCGATTTGCCTGTTTCTAAAAAACATACTGTTATTCTCACGGTGATTGACAGGTTTACTAAAATGGCTCATTTCGTGCCCTTGCCTAAACTGCCCTCGTCTCCCGAATTAGCTGAGATATTCGCGAGGGAGATTTTTCGTCTACATGGTATTCCCTCTGAAATTGTTTCTGATAGAGGTTCCCAATTTGTTTCCCGCTTTTGGAAGTCTTTCTGTTCTCACTTAGGCATCAAGTTGAACTTCTCCTCTGCCTATCATCCCCAGTCCAACGGAGCTGCCGAACGCACCAACCAAAAGATTGAACAATATTTGCGTTGTTTTGTTTCTGAACACCAGGACGATTGGGTTGGTCTGATTCCTTGGGCAGAGTTTGCACACAACAATCTCGTTTGTGATTCTACTCGTTCTAGCCCCTTTTTCTTGAATTATGGCTTTCATCCTTCCATTCTTCCGTCGGTTTCCCCTTCCCAAGGGGTTCCGTCGGTTGATGTTCATGTCGCCAATCTGAGAAAGTTGTGGGATCAGACTCGACGAATTCTTCTTCAGAATTCCATGGTGTTCAAACGACACGCTGACAAACGGAGACGGGTGGCTCCGGTTTTTGCCCCGGGTGATAGGGTGTGGTTGAGTACCAGAAACATCCGCTTGAAGGTTCCTTCCATGAAATTTGCCCCTCGTTACATAGGCCCTTACAAGGTTCTGTGTCGGATTAACCCGGTTGCATATCGTCTTGCCCTTCCGCCTGCCCTGCGCATCCCTAACTCTTTTCATGTTTCTTTATTGAAGCCTTTGGTTTGCAACAGATTTTCCTCCCCTGAGTCCTCCCCTCTCGCTGTCCAGGTTGAGGGTCAGGAGGAATATGAAATCAAATCCATTCTCGATTCTCGTATTTCTCGGGGGAAGTTGCAATATCTTGTTGACTGGAAGGGGTATGGGCCTGAAGAAAGGTCTTGGGTGGTCCATGAAAATGTGCATGCCCCTCGTCTCCTTCGGGCATTTCATGCTCGTTTTCCGTCCCGCCCCGGTTCCTTCCGCCCGGTGGGCGTTTCTGAGAGGGGGGGTACTGTCAGGGTACCTTTGGTGTCTACCTCGGAGGAGGTTAGACACCTAGACGTCCATCCTCCCAGGGGGGCTGACTCACCCGATCCTTGCACTCCTCCCGGTCGTTTACACGCCGGCCGCGATAGCTCCGCCTCCTTTTATGACGCGGCGCTCAGTAGCCGACGTCATGACGGCAATCACGCTCCGACCCGTCAATCACGGCAACCAAGTGCCGAACAACCAATCAGGACCCGTTGGGGGCGGAGCCAACAGTTAAAGAGCCAAGGTATAAAAAAGGGTTCTGTGGAATGATTCATTGCCCTGTCGTGGTTCTAGCTAGTCTGGTCACTCAGTGCAATTACCTCTATTGTCTTTTGGTTCCTGACTCGGCTTGTATTTTGACCCTGCTTTCCTCTCTTGTCCTTTTGACTCGGCTTGTCTCTCGCTTACCTGATCTCTCGTTCCCTCGACCTCGGCTTGTCTCTGACTATTCTTTTGCTTTCTCCTTACGTTAGTCCGGCCATTCTAAGGTCCGGTATACGTACCTATCCCCTGTTTGTATTCTGCGTGTTGGATCCCTGTCACGATCCTGACAGTCACAATATTCTGTTCTAAAAGTGGCCTAAAGTACCTTGGGGGAATCACCATGATTTTTGTTGGTGACTGTTTCCCTTTTAAATTTTTGCACCACTTTGTAGAATAGAACATACTGACAAATGTCCCCTGCTGTCTAGCCTTGGGTTCTCTTTTGGCTAACCTCCTATGAAATATTTAGTTATGCCTGGCCACCTGAAAGATTGAGGATACATTCTCTACCACTACTCCATCATCTATTCTTGTTAGTTTCTGTTCTTGTCTTTTTGAGTTTGGGTCTGTATCGTTCCTGACAGTACCCCTTCTTGGTCTCTATATATTTTTCAATGGACAGTCTGCAATGCTCCCATTCTCAACAATGTGGCAAACAACAACTTGTGAAGATTCTCTACATTAGACCAAAGATGACCTTTCTTAAAGGACCACTATAGTGCCAGGAAAACATACTTGTTTTCCTGGCACTATAGTGCCCTGAGGGTGCCTCCACCCTCAGGGACCCCCTGCCGCCGGGCTCTAGGTCCTTCTCTTCTCCTCTTCGGCTGAATGCGCATTTGCGTGGCAGGAGCCGCGCGCGCATTCAGCCAGTCCATAGGAAAGCATTCGCAATGCTTTCCTATGGACACAAGCATCTTCTCACTGTGAAAATCACAGTGAGAAGCGCGGAAGCCCTCTAGCGGCTGTCAATGAGACAGCCACTAGAGGCTGGATTAACCCATAGGTAAACATAGCAGTTTCTCTGAAACTGCTATGTTTACAGAAAAAAGGGTTAAACCTATCTGGACCTGGCACCCAGACCACTTCATTAAGCATTAAGCTGAAGTGCTCTGGGTGCCTATAGTGGTCCTTTAAGGTCTACATTATAGTAACAGCAGTAAATCCTCATAAAATGGGATTCATTGCCTTGGACAATGATCTCCCCAAGTCTCATGGAGAAACTTTTTTCCTCTGAGAAGGGGTTCTTTCTGCGAGAAAACATCCTGCCTATGTTAATGGTATTTTCAGGTGTCTAGCAAATCTCCCTTACAAAATGCACTCAAGGGAAGCCATGTGTAATTTTATCATTACTGTTTTACATAGCAACAACACACCAAATCCAATACTTTGTGCCCAGTGATTGGAATGTGCTACACTAAGTAAAGCAGAGGAATTACTAGCGTCTACTTCACCACCTAAGCCAAGATTTTGTGTTGGTAAAATGTAATTCCCACCACTGAAACGAAAAAAAATTATCCATTCGAGAGCAGTTGTGTCGAAAAAACAGGTGGTGGCCTTCATTTTTAAACATAACCTTTTATTTTGTGGCATCTTGAAGGCAGAGTGGAACATCTTGAATAAGAGGGAAGATGATGGGATGGTTTAGCTTCCCAAGACACATTACTTAACAATTGTTATTTACAAAATGTACTGACAACACGCCAATTATTATTGAATTTAATCTTTCATCGACCCCGAATGCCTCCTGGATGATGGGAGATTACATTCACTTCCAACTGTAAGATTAGCTAATCTCCTTTCCAGTGACACTGTTGCCACAAATTACATCTTGTCAGCTGTCACTAACCCCTTCCAAGAAAGCAGGGATATGGCACGATGGGACAGTGGAGGACACTAGTCCACCAACGATTCCAGCATCTTAGACTCTTCCTCCTCTCTGTCTCCTTTCCACCCTCTCCCTTCCACTGTTGATATTTTACATTTCTTTTGCTGACACAGAGTTAATGCACATATGGAAGTAATTGTTCTTGTAAATAGAGATAATTCCTGCCTTTCCAACAGAGTTTGACTCAGAGAGTGCAGGGGAGGAGGTCAGAGGAGTAAAAGGGTTTTTCTAAGTACATTTTAGAATTGGAGACAGTTTCTGCTTAACGCACTTGCACATTTACATATACATATTGCTTGTGTGTTAAAAAGTTTCTGACTGTAAAAATGTAAAGAAAATGCCTCTCTTTTCTCTACATATTCATGGAGTATAGGCTTTTACTTGCATAATAAACAGACCGAAGCTGCTCTTTGATAGTCATCAAAATGCAGACTCTGACTCAAAACAGAATGTCTTCTAGGTAATGGGGTTAATAGGTTGTTCTATTTAGTCTTAAAGAAGAGCTTGAAATCTTACTCCAAATATTTTTTTTTAAACTGTAATTTCAGTAAAAACACTGTTTTTGGTTAGAGTAACCCTTCATAAACTGTCTCACCTCCCTCCACCAAAAAGAAAAAATGAAGAAAACAACTAAAACCTATTTCTATTACAGCGCCAAGGACAAGTTCTCCCTGCACCTCAATGTTCTGTTGACGTCAGTACCCTCTCATAAGACAGGCAAACATTGGCAGCACAGAGGGGAGCATGCTGCCTCTTTTGCCACATTGCACACAATTTGCATTAACCACCAGAAATTCTTGCTCTGGCTTTACTAATGACACCAGAATAATGCTGGTGGATGTGTAACAGAATGTGCAGCATTTCATAGCAAAACTCTGCACATACAGACTCCAGACACCATGACCATTTCAAATCACTGAAGTGATTATGGTGTTTGAAGTAACCCTTTAAAGGCACAAAAAGAAAGCTATAGGCTGTAATTGAGGAACTTGAATTGTACATTAAGGAATTAAAGTAAGTTTATATGCAGTTATAGGAGTTAAATGTGTCTACCGCAAGGGCTGATTAAAGATGAGTTACAAAAGTTGCTCTATATATTGTGATAGCTTAATTGAAAGAAAACACATGACTTGAATATAAGTTGTAACTCCCAAATGTCCTGGCACAGTCACAACAAAACGATACCAGAGAAAGTCACAGCAAAAAACAAACAATGCAAGACAACTGCAAGCCATTTCTTTCCGTATATTACAACGCTTCTGCAGTGCTCTTGGCATGCACTGGACCCCCTGGACACAAACTGACACACACACAGATGCACAGACACACAGATACAAACACTATCACACAGTTGTCTCAGGCCAACAGAGCACTGCTCGCTCACTGATTGGCTAATACTGTGTTTGCTTGTTATTGAATTCCGATTGGTGGGTGGTGTTTTTGTACAAGCTCACATCAGCATGCCGTTGTTGGCGGCAAAAACTTAAGAGTATATTGGCTGATCTGTAGAGAAGCTCCCTTTTGGCGCCAAATAGCTCTATATAAGTACAAAGCTCGGCTTGACAGCTCAGCATCACTTTTGATGCTGAAGGCAATTGTGGAGTAGAAGTGCGGTAATCACGTTATCTGCGTTATTTTTACTGTAGTGGCATTGTTTGTGGTACGTTGTCCCCTAGATTAAAATAATAGGCGGCCTGACTATGCCACTAATGGCTCTTAATGGAATAGTTTTAATATCAAGAGTAATTTATACATATTTATACTATAAAGAGCTGCTCTGGAAATAATATATCAAATCACATAAAGGTGTGCGTGTGTGTGTTTGTTTGTGTCATTTATTATTAGATTTTGGCACAAAGAACTCCAAAACCTGGTTGGGTTACACTAAGCTGTCAGCTGATACCCCTATTTTGTTTGGGTAAGTGTGTGCTCAATGTGCACAATGTGTGCTGTCCAGGCCCAGACTGGCCATCGGGCATACCGGGCAAATGCCCGGTGGGCCGCGATGGCCGTGGGCCGAGGCCGGCAGGGGAGATCACAGGATCTCTGCGGCCGGCCCATGCAGAGCCAGCGCTACCCGAGCGCCAGTCCTGCTGTGTGCCTTCATGGGCCGGTGGGGAGATCAAAGATCTCCCTCACCGGCCCACAGGCAATCATAAGCGGCCGCAGGCTGGGAAGTGAGGGAGGCAGGAGAGGACCCGGGGGAGCTCTAGCCAGCAGCTCCGCCGGGTCCTCTTGCGTGATTCTGAGCGTTGCCGCGGTTATCGCGGCAACGCTCAGATCTCGCGAGAGTGAACTCTAGCCTGCAGGCTAGAGTTCACTCTCACCACTAGGACCACTAAGAAGGGAGGGAGGGGGATATAACTTTTTTATTTATTATTATTAATAAAAAAAAATTTAAATAAAAAATAAATTCACACTCACACTAACAGCTCCCTCACACACACAGCACCCCCAGACACACACACAGCACCCTCAGACACACACAGCACCCTCAGACACACACACAGCACCCCCAGACACACACATCACCCAGACACACACAGCACCCTTTAGACACACACAGCACACCCAGACACACACAGCACCCTCAGACACACACAGCACCCTCAGACACACACAGCACCTTCAGACGCACACAGCACCTTCAGACACACACAACACCCTCCAGCACCCTCGCTGACACACACAGCACACTCCCACACATATACAGCACACACAAAGGCACACACACACATATATATATAAATATATATATATATATATATATATATATATATATATAAAATAACCCTCAGTGAGTTAACAGACAAAGAAAATTAGAAACCTAGAATGTGACGGCAGATAAAAACACCCTCACACACAGCACCCCTCTTACACAACACACACTGCGCCCCTCACACATACAATACGTCCAAATATATATATATACACACACACACACTACAGCACCCCTCACACTGCACCACTACACACATTACGCTCCAGATACATGCTAGATCCCTTACCCTATATAAACTCTTAATCCTCTACACACACACACACACACACACAATCTCCTATACACACTCTTGGTCCTTTACACACTAGATCTCCTACACACACACACACACACTGCACCACCTACACACACACACTACATTCCCTGTCAGCAAACACATACAACATTCTCTAAACACACCCTCTCTACAACCCCTACACACACTATGTCACCTATACACACACACTACAGCCTGTATTCACACACTCGCTACATCCCCTATAACACTATGCCCCCTATACACACACTCTCTACAGCCCCTAGCCACAAATATTACACCACAAACACAAATGAAATTTACCTATTTACACAATACCACACCACACTCTACACACACGCAATCCCACAAGCAGGCTCCAAACACATGCACCATACACTTTCCTGGCCCTTTTGTCCTCTGGTATCACACTTGTGGAGACAGCAGAGACAATTTAAAAGCAAACACAGCGCAAGCATGTTATTAAATTTGCTTGCACTGCGCAGAACAAATGCAGGGCCTTTTTTTAAATGCTAGAGCTCTTCAGTGGGGCTCACGTTGAGAGGGGGCGTGCTTGTCATTAGTGATGACAAAACACACCCTCTCTGGCCCCGCCCCCTGATTGAAAAATGCCTGGACCGAATTTTTTTCCCATTCCGGCCCTGGTGCTGTCTGTCTTGTGGACTTGCTGTAGTTTCCAGCCACCATACTTGCTGTTAAAACCGTAGAGCCAGTGGCATAGAGATACAGTTAAAAATTCATATAGCGTTATTTACTAAAATGAATTTCAAATCTAGGGCCAAAATAACCATGTTGGAAAAGTTCTCCAAATTAGCTATGCTTTCAGTTCAGCCATTTTTGCATTAAAGTGACATGCATCACAATAATTTTTTTAAACCAGCAATCAAACACTTTAAAACCAAATATAAAAAAACAAAATTAGGCCAGAAAAACTTTGAAAAGTATGTAATAAATGGACTATAAACTTGGTCAGATTGCATTATTAGACACACCTCTTAGCTAGGGGAGTTTCTTTAGCCTTCCCCCAACCCCTCTCTCTTACCCACCCACCCAGCCCAATAATGACAGAAACAAGGCATCATTGTATAGCAGCAGGAGAGAAAAACATGACATCTGATTATACTCTGCATAATCACACTGATCAGACTCTTTTCTTTCCCTGTCAGGATGTTGCAAAGATCTTCAAGCTACACATATAAATCTGCCAGGCATGTCCAACGCACTTTTCCAGCATTCCTAGGGATAGGACACTGATTGGTTAGATCAATGGGTGGGTGTGGAAAGCACAAGAAAGAAGAATCAGGTAAACATGAAAAAGAATCATATTCATCTGCTGTTTTCAGTCTTCGGAGTGAGGCATGTCCCTTTAAATTTGAAATTCATTTTCAATTTACTTTGAATGCCCAATTGTTTTCACGTTAGTAAATAACCGTTTATGTTAAATAGCATTTTCTGAGTGCTTTTAATAGTGGTTATTACACAAAATATAATATTTGGATCAAATATGTCTCTATAAAGTGTCACCCCTTTTTGCATGACAAATGTCCTTCAATAGTGTATAATTCAAGGTCTTAATTTTGTGAGCAGGGCAGTGGTGAGCCAAATGCTCTTATCTGAATAAACAAGTTCCTTATACTTTGATGTGAGCAGTTTTTTCCTTATTTGTGGGAGGATTTGAACTTAGGATATGCGCGATTATTTCAACACAGGGCAGGATTTTCTGAGAAGACTAGGACACCATGTGACTACGTAACTATGATACAATAGAAGGAAAACTGCCCTGTGAATCACGGACAGATGTGAGGAAGCTGCTAAACAGCTGGAAGCCACCATGTTTAATCCCAAGAGCTGTCGCACGTCTGTGAACATCTGTCCTTAAATCTATTGGTGATTATTAAAGAATCCTTATGTGCTCTTGACCATGCCTCTCTGCTTCCTGTTTCTGGTGTTGGTCTCATTCATATGTCATTTGTGTGTTTAATTCTGTTTACCAAATGTGTAATGCTGCGATATATCCTGAACTTGGGTTTATAATAATGAAACATATGCCTCAGTTTCGGCGGATATCCAAATCATTTAGCTGTCGTGTACACTTTTTAATCTACACAAGATCTTCCGCTCCCCCCCAGGAAGTTACAGTGTTTTGGTGATACATAGAGACTATTTCAAAAAAGAGTAGCCCATTAAGTCTGTTGTGTAGCTATTTACCACCGTGTTATGTGACAGTACACTACGCGGTTTGTTGTGTGACAGTATGAGGTATAGCTCATTGTTAGAACATTTAGGGTTTAGGATAAAGTTTGGCTAAAGTAAATGATAAGGTCCTTTTACCACAACTGGCCAAAAAGGAGAACTTACAAAGCATAAATATGTTATCTTGGATATTTTCCTTTTTAAAATGTTTTAGTTACTACGGTCTAGCATTATATTTTTTAACTATTTATAGTTTTAAACATTTTTCAACAACTGCTCAGAGGGAAAGTATTCATATACCTTATATATTTCACAAAACTTTGCTTCCAGTTTTTTTTCTTCTTTGGTTACTGTGTTGAGTCTTTAAAGGTCTGTTGTGGACTATGTGTTAGGTCTCTTAAAGGGACACCGTAGGCACTGTATCTGCTTCATCTCATTAAACTGGTTATAGTGTCTGGAGTCCCCTGGTCCCATCATTTCTTTCAGCATTAAACAGTTTTTAATGTTATAATGTTTTAATGCTAAACAAGAGTCCACGGCAGTCTATTCCCTCTGTGCTGCTTTTGCTAATAAGGAAGTATTACCCTGAGAGGCAATGGGCAGTTGTGATTGGCTGAGAGTGTCAGCTGACTGCTTTTAACCTGGCAGAGCTCCAACTGACGGTATGAATGGGTATGACAACAAGGAAGTGTGTAATCTCTGCCTTAGCTACACATACAGAAGGGGCCGGACTGTGGGTGGCCAGGGACTCTTATTTTGTGGCATACTGCACAAACATGGTGCAACACTGAATGGAGGGACAGTGCCAGGCCACTCCAGGCACTATAACCAATTCAAAGAGACAAAGTGGTTATAGTGACTACAGTGTCCCTTTAAGGGTTTGCTATAGACTGTGTATGGAGTCTGTCAATGGTTTACTATAGGCAATGTCTGTGGTTTTATTAGTGAAATGCTATGGACCCTTTCTGGGGTGTGTCAGTGTTTTAATATGGGCAGTGTCCTAGGGTATTTCAATGGTTTACCTCAAGCCCAATCTACAGTCTTTCGGTATTCTGTTATGCAAAATACGAATTAGTCTTTTCGGGTAACGTGATTCTTTACCACACAAAGGCAGAACTTAATAAAGGAGTATTTATTACAAGCAAAAAATAGTCATAGTGCATATAAAAATATAGATGACAATCAAATTATTTACACCAACAACAGATAAAAACAAAAGGGATAAAATAACAGAAGTCCTAATCACTTACTCAGGTTTTCATAGTAAAACTTCTGCCCCAGGGGGTAACTGGTAAGAAAGATGGTGACTCACTTAGAATTAGAATCTGGCCCCTTAATGCACACTTCAGTATCATTAGAGATATACCCTGTGGATTACCAAGCCTCGCCTAGAGTTGGAGTTAAGGTATATCTATAGAGACAATAAGTGTCCCCACATCAATCCAAATACAAAACTTTTCCTTCGATCTCCTCTTTTGTACTTGCCACAGAAATAATAATTGCCTCTATGAATTTGCCACCATTTCTCCATTCAATAGATGTGTCACACTTCTTACTTGTGACCCAATATAGCGGATATCACAATCCTTTCCCCTATGGTTGTTATGCCAATCATGTTTGGACTTGTTTAGAAGATGGTGCTTGTCCCATTCTAAATATAATAAAAAATAGGTTTAATTATTATTCTGTGGGTACATACTAATGTTTTTTTGGATATGATACTTGAACACAAGGCTAATGATAATTAACATATGAAAGAAAGTAACTCATCAATTAAGACGCAGAGGCCATATGGCTGAAGGCAGTTAGTTTACATTGGAACTAGACCCAGGCCACTTATGTGTGACTTCTCACACCTTACAGAGCCGTTTATTAATCAAAGGATCAATCCATGTTCTAAACCATATGCCTCCTTTCACATTCCTAAGCAATTTACATTGTCCCTTCTGTCATTTGACCTTGCAAATTACATTAGATGGCAATATTCTATTGTGCAACAATGAATTATGCACCCTTGGCGTGACACAGCCTACTAGCCTCATGAATCTGGTTCTCACAGCTTGAGTGAAGTGGTGACACTTGGGACGTGCACTATTACTTAAAGGACCACTATAGTGCCTTGAGGGTGCCCCCACCCTCAGGGTCCCCCCACCCTCAGGGTCCCCCTCCTTCCAGGCTCTAGGGGGTGGAACTTACCTCTTTCTCCAGCGCCGGGCGGGGGACTCTCCTCCTCCTCTCCGCCTCCTCTCCTTCTCCTCGGCTAAATGCGCATGCGCACGCATTCAGACAGTCTCATAGGAAAGCATTCACAATGCTTTCCTATTGACACTGGCATCTTCTCACTGTGATTTTCACAGTGAGAAGCACGCAAGCGCCTCTAGCGGCTGTCAATGAGACAGCCACTAGAGGCTGGATTAACCCTAATATAAACATAGCAGTTTCTCTGACAGTTTCTCTGAAACTGCTATGTTTATAGAAAAAAGGGTTAATCCTAGATGGACCTGGCACCAGGGCCAGACTGGCCCACCGGGAAATTTCCTGGTGGGCTGTCTGCACCTGGGGCCGAGCAGACAGCTGGGTCTGCTGGCGGCCGCTGGGGGAGCTGTTCTGTCTCTGCTCCCCAGCGCACAGCTTAATGAGACCGGGGCCAGAATATGACATCATATTCCGGCCGCGGTCTCATGCAGCAGCGCGCAAGGGGGCGGGAGAGCAGAGCCAGCGCAGCTCCCCCAGTGGCCACCAGCAGACCTCCCCCTGGCAGGTATTAGTAATGTGTGTCAGTGTGTGTCTGTCTGTCTGTGTCATGGTATCTGTATGGTGTGTGTGTGTGTGTGTCTGTCTGTCATTGTGTGTGTGTCTGTCTGTGTCATGGTGTGTGTGTGTCTGTGTCATGGTGTGTGTGTCTGTCCGTGTCATGGTGTGTGTGTCTGTCCGTCATGGGGGGTGTGTGTGTGTGTCTGTCTGTCTGTCAGGGGGGTGTGTGTGTCTGTCTGTCATGGGGTGTGTGTGTGTCTGTCATGGGGTGTGTGTGTCTGTCTGTCATGGGGTGTGTGTGTCTGTCATGGGGTGTGTGTGTGTCTGTCATGGTGTATATGTTTGTTTAAAAATAGTGTTTTTGCTCACCTTTTTTTCCACCACGCAGCGTGCTGGTCTCCCCTCGACTGGCCCTGCCTCTATAGCTGAGATCATCAAGCTTGATGATCTCAGCCAATCCAATGCTTTGCCATAGGATTGGCTGCAAAACGCCACTCCAATCAGCATCTCCTCATAGAGATGCATTGAATCAATGTATCTCTATGGGGAATGTTCAGCACCTACAGAGTGTGGAGGCCCTGAATGTAGGTGCACTGACACAGGCAGCACCTCTAGTGACCGTCTGAGTGACTGTCACCAGCAGTGTCACTTTGAAGCAATGTAAACACTGCCTTTTCTCTGAAAAGTCAGTGTTTACGTTGAAAAGCCTGTAGGGACATGCTATAGACACCAGTACCACTACATTAAGCTGTGTGTGTGTCTTCTAGTGAGTGAGCTTGCTTGCATGCGTGTGCCTGCTAGTGAGTGAGCTTGTGTTTTTATGTCAATGAGCTGATGTATATCAGTGAGATTGTTTGTCTATGAGGCTGTGTATCAATGAGCTTGTGTGTGTCATTGAGATGTCAGTGAAATTGCCTGTGTCTGCATGTGAGTATGCTTACTGTATAATAAATGTTTTACCCTGAAAGGACCAATATTTTATATTAGAAAAAGCAATATATTTATATATATATATACAAAACACAAGATCCAGCGCACTCACCTATCCACTAAACAGCAACTTCAATGTTGAAAGATTTTATTAGTTTTTTTTAACATTAGGCTGTCAGTGTAGGACCTGCCAAAGATGGGGTACATTGACGTTGTGGCAGGCTTATGCAATGTATGATCATATAATGTAACTAAACCCCCATTATTTTTGCCTAGATTAGGTGTTTTTAAAAAAAAACTAATAAAATCTTTCAACATTGAAGTTGCTGTTTAATGGATAGGTGAGTGCGCTGGATCTTGTGTTTTGTATTATTTGGCCCCCAGCAGCACCCCCATTTATGCATATTTAGGTGAGTGCAGCCAACCCCCCCTTGTTTCATATGTATATATTTGGGAGTCTAGCCAACTCCTTGGTTTTGCACCCCTCCCTGTCACAGGTGCCTCATCCCAGGGCCCTATTTAGCCTTGTACTGCAGAGAGCCCCAGATGGAATTTTTTTCCTCAAGTAAGTGGTTAATCTCATAAGAGCAGACATTAGGCTGTCAGTGTAGGACCTGCCAAAGATGGGGTACATTGACGTTGTGGCAGGCTTATGCAATGTATGATCATATAATGTAACTAAACCCCCATTATTTTTGCCTAGATTAGGTGTTTTTAAAAAAAACTAATAAAATCTTTCAACATTGAAGTTGCTGTTTAGTTGATAGGTGAGTGCGCTGGATCTTGTGTTTTGTATTATTTGGCCCCCAGCAGCACCCCCATTTATGCATATTTAGGTGAGTGCAGCCAACCCCCCCTTGTTTCATATATATATATATATATATATATATATATATATATATATATATTACTCAATCATCTGTCATGGCAAGACATAGCCTTACATATTACACGCGACAATATATGGCGCAGTGACTTATGGGGCCGGCACAAATTTTTTTTCCAGGGCTGCTTTGTATCCCCAGTCCGGCTC